AAAACACCAGGGTGTCCACAGAGTATGGTCAAAAGAGCCAGGATGGTGGCCCTGACTGTGACTGAAGCTATGTCCATTTTTTAGGTGCACTGCACATAAAAAACGGGCAGATCTTCTGATCACAGTGTCACACCCTTGTGGTCACCACTGACTTTTTTGACCATACCCTCCGGATACTCATGAAAATACTACTTCAGCTTTAGGTCAGAAGAACATGAAGTTAGCTTGCCTTAGTTACAGGCAGGGGGAGCAAAAGGAAGGCTCTGATAGGGCATCCCCAAACTGAAGTTAGGGGATATGGAAATGTGGTCTCCGTGTTGTATCCTGAATTTTAAAGTGCATTTGTGTTTCCTGTAGGTGGCATAAAGGCATCATAACATTACCAGATTAAGAACGATAGCCTTGCAGTTTTCCTACAAAAATTATTAGCATGTGTAGGTCTTAATCAGATATCACAGAGCTGCTGTTTTTGATTACAGCAAGAATACACCAAATTGCTATGCCTCCAAATTTATCAACTTTGAATATAAATCTATTTGGGATATGGGATCTGATTTCAGTCTCATGATTGCAGGAAATGCAACCATGTTCTGGGGTGTCTAAACATCTAAACATTTCTTGCAGCATAAATGTGGCATTGAGCTCACTTTGTGAGATGGGTAAATAAATAGTGATGGATGTAAGTATGGACACTGGAGAACGAGACTAAGAGGAAGATCACCTCTTCAGGTGGGCACTCATATCCAGCTGGCTTGCCCACCTCTTTCTCTGTCTTCCCAGCCACTTCTCACTTCAGTATCACTCTTAGCCTTGTCTTATTCCTACTGTCCCCATCAAAGGTTTTTGCCAGGAAATGCCTGTTTAGATTCACCCACAGATCTTCTGAAACTATCCAGTGCGTAGGACAGTTTGTGACAGTTCTAATATTGTGGCCAAGAACATGCCCATGAAAGTCACCAGGACTCCAACTCACTTTGAAGGAGCCATTACTGTATAATATGTGAATATATTGCATCAATTACACAAATGGTAACAATGCAATGCTTTCCCAATATTTCTTCTGACACATAGCAGCTGCCGCTGTCAATTAGTGACATGCTCATGGAGACCTTCCAAAGGAAAGTACTGTATCTTCATTCCATTGGGAATCAGAACCCAACCAGCTTCTCCAGCTTTGTTAATCAATATTGAAAAGTCACCAACTGACTAGAAAGTTATTGCAAGGTATTTGAAAGACTCTTGCCTGATGGATTCTGGGATTTTTGGCTGTTTTTGGTCTTCACCATGGAGGAATGAACATGTCTAATAATCACTGAGATCTCTCACATTTATGAAGAAAATGCTGAACTATACCATTATTTTAAGGAAAAAAGTTTATATGTGCAGGAATGGAGTCATGTCATTTTATGAGGAATCACATCCTTTTGGATGTATTCCATAAACTGGTTTGAAAGGCTGGCCTTCAATGGAACAACAGCCTGTAAATATAAATATGTTTTTAAAAAGCATTTCCGCCACTAAATCGCTTAAACCTCTAAGCCTGAAAGCTAAACATTTTTCAGACAACTCCCTCACTTGTTCTAGGGTTCTAGGAAATCATTTGATTGATCGGTTGTTTGATTGATTGCTTTACTTAGGTTTCTACACTGCTCCAATCAGACTCTGAGTGGCTAACAATGCCTCCATGCAGCAATTTAATTAAAAACATATACAACAGATCATGACACAGTAAACCATCATTATAACCTTTCATCCTCAACCAATATCCTAGTACCACTTCACTCCATCCCCAAAACAGCCTCCAGAAGAGTCAGATCTTCAACTGTCTTTCAGAACACTAATAGGGATGGGGCCATCTTATTTCTGACGATGGGCTATTCTGGGAGGTGAAAGGAGCACCACAGAGAAGGCTTATCTCAGGGTCTCTGATGTCTGCATTCCTTTGGAGGTGGGACCCATAGCATACATCCCAGATTTCACTGGATGGCCAGAATCTACATGGAGCAGGTAGTCTTGAAGGTAGCCAAGTTGTAAATACTAAAGGTCTCTAAAGATAACAATCAATACCTTTAACTGCATCCAGAAGCCTTTGAGTAACCAATACAGTTCTTGCAATAGACGTGTTACATGGGTAAACTGAACTAAGTCTATTACTACCCAGGCCACTGCAACTTCTAGATGGTCTTCAGGGACAGCCCCATTAGATGAGTTGCAATAGTCCAGATGTGAGGTGACAAGGGCATAAATGACCATTAACAAAGCCTCCTGTTCCAGGAGTGGCCATGACTCGTGCACAAGATGAAAGCTGTACAAAGGTTTCCACCTGCTCTTCCAGACTCCAAATTGTGAATTTGTTCTGCACAGTGGAGCATAACTCTGACCAGAGCCAAAGATGGACTTTCTCCAGAATTTGCCCACTGAACGGACCAATTTGGTTCCAGATTCATCGATTAGCTATTACTGAGCAATGTTCAGTCCTGGTCTTCTATGGTCATTGCAGAGTTGTCTCAAAGGAAAACAGACCCAGTTTCTACAGACCTTTCCCCAGTGCTAGGAGAAGTACTATTGTCCCCCAGCCTAGAAAATTATGCTGGCTGCTCCCACTGTCAATTCTTACCTTGCCTGTTTTGTCTCTGTTTCAAATCATTGTGTTCAACCAGCTTCCCTCCAAGGTCATAGGTGACAAAGGTAACCATTTTTAGAAGCTCCCCTTGCAAGGTGCTGGAATAAAAGAGGAAGACTGCTGTAATCACCAGATGCAGCTATTGTAAGCATGACTTATGCCTTCTCATTCATGGACTCAGGAATGAGATGAAGACAACATCATGGGGACATGGCAGAAAAAAAAATGTTACCTCTATATGTTTGTGCTGCTGTTAGGTACAGGTGGGGAAATGGCCTATGCCTGCAGGTGTGTGATATAATACAACTGCAAGCATATGATAATGTCATGCCATGGATGGAAGGAAGGAAGGAAGGAAGGAAGGAAGGAAGGAAGGAAGGAAGGAAGGAAGGAAGGAAGGAAGGAAGGAAGGTTCAACATAAAATGAGTTCAGAATTTTATTTTTTATGTGTGAAAATAGTTGTTTTCATTTTATGAAATACTAATGAATTCTATCCTTCAAGTCAATGTTGGAGGGTTTTGGTGACCTATTTGTTTAACTTACACATTTTGTGTGTTATGTGTGTTTACCTTTTCACTTTTTCTTCTTTTTACAGTGTGTCAAGATTTTTTGGAAAGATTTTACAGTTCTCTGAAAGAAAAACATTCTGATTTCTCCATGGCATCTATAGAAGAGGAATTAATTAAGACTTGCATGAATACAAAAGGCAAAGAAAACCGCTTGGTATGACCTCCTCTCTCCTTCTAAGCACAGTTTAGATAAAAGTTTGTGTCCTTCAAGTCAATGTTGACCCCTAGTAAATTCATCGACCCAACATGCAGTTTTCTTGACAATACTACAGAACTGATTTGCAATTTCCTTCTCTGTGTGTGTGTGTGTGGGGGGGGTGGTGGTTATCCAATATTTTTGTTTGAACTTACACCCCTGGTCTTCTAGTCTTCTGAAGTTGTCTCCTATCCAACCACTAATGAGACCCATCCCTGTGTAGTTTCCAAGCCCTTGAGATAATTTGGTTCAAAGACTTCCAGCTATGAAAACTTAGGGACGAGAAGAGAGATGCCTTGGTCCCTAAGCAATAACTTTACATTTGTGTTATTTTTCGTAGTGCTATTACCTTGGGGCTACAGGAGATGCAGCTAGCAAGATCATTAGTGAAGTCAGTCGTCCAATGAGTGGTCATGTCCCTGTGACAAAAATCTGCGAGAAGCTGAAGAAAGTCGATATTCAGATCTGTGAACTCAAATACGGTATGATGAAATCAACATGCAGAACAAATGTAGGCAGTTAAACATGTGATTAAGAACTTTTCAGCACTTTGCACAGTATTTGCTACTTGTTACTCCTCCTGGGACAATCCTGATTTCCTAAAGACATGGGGTTTTATATGCAGTCATGATTTTATGTTTGTGAGTAACACTGGGAACCATCATGTAATCACTGTTTGCTCTTTCTGGCCTGGACATGAGTCCAGAGAAATGCCAACTAATCAGTGCTCCCAGGGATCTCCTCAAAAAGTCATCATGGCGGCTTTGACAGTGTGATCAACGCTCCACCTGTTAATAAAAAGACATAAAAGTGTGTCACAAAAAAAGGCTTATCCTGCCCTTTAAAGAAATATCTGTCTTCATGAAAATCAATAGGATAATTTAAATGTTAATAACATGGTTGAACTATTAAGTAATAGTAATTATTTACAGCAGCTTCATTTTTAAACATCATCACCCTTTTCCAACTGATACTATCCTGACTCAAATTTCAAAATCCTTAAACAAACCACAAAACTTAGATCATTGGACCCCCCTTGGATTCCACTGGGTTCATGCCTTCAACAACATCCTTTTCCCTTCACCCCATGGAAACAAAAACATTAATTGCTAATGTCCCTTCTCTCCCATACACCATATTTATAATTGCCCATTGTCTGGGGGAAAAGTCCCAGAGGTGGCTTGAACAAAAGGAACATAAACAGAAAATCTGTTGTTTAAGAAAGGAAATCAAAGGCATTAAACAACCTTGAAAGTTTCCCGCTAACCATGGCAATAGTTATGACTTTCTAATCACCAGCAACCCATAATGCTGCCAATGCTACCAATTCTCATTCAGGTACCTTCTAACTTGCATCATTACACATCATTGCAATTGGAGCCCAGAAGTCCTTGGGTAGGTCGCTAGATGTAGTTAGCCAGATGTTATTCTAAAAGGGTGGGGATGGAAGCAATGTAAAATCCTGTGTGTTGGGGCGTATCATGTCCATATCTCTCTGCTCTGAGAGCTTACAGGGAGATGAATTGTATAGACCAGTGTTTCTCAACCTCAGCAACTTTAAGATGTGTGGAATTCAACTCCCAGAATTCCCCCAACCACTCTGGCTAGATGAATTCTGGAAGTTGAAGTCCACACATCTTAAAATTGTTAAGGTTGAGAAACACTGGTATAGACCATTCTGATAGTTGCTGAGACATTACTAACATCCCTTCCTTATTCACTCATTAAACTACTCATGCAGAAGTGCATTGTGATTGCAAAGATATCACAACAGCATTATAAGATTGTGATTGTGAAAGAGACAACAGTGCCACAAGTACATCACTGTCTGGAAGATTTCTATATCTGCTGTCAGTTTGCAACCACACAGCTATCCTCATCTGCCATGTATGTGTTTCCTTTAGAAGCATTTTTTTTTTTTTAATCTGCGCTCAGTCGTTACCATCTCTGCAGTGACTGCTTGGACGAG